AATCGCATCGCGAATTGGGTAGACCATCATAGTAAGCAAGTGTTCCAGTTGTTGAAACCCATTAACGTTGAAACCCATTAACCCATTAACATGAATTTAGTCATACGTGATTAAATTCATGAATTTAATGTGAATTTAATCATATATGATTAAATTCATTCTGAAACTTAATGTAAACAGCTGTCGTCAACTGCTCTTTTCTTTTCGCATCCCTCGTTTCGTTTCCACCCGAAAGAGAAATTAGATGACGCGACACGTCAGCCTGCGGGTACGAGTTACCTTGACTTCTATAACCTTTGCTCGGGGCGTTCTCACGATCAAAGTTGCAGCCATCAATAATCGGAGTCTTACGAAGTGAAACGGCAACAATTCTAGTCAGAATGATAGAAAAATATCAACCGGGAGTAAAATTATAAAATAAAGTTATATTAACAGTATATATTTATAGTGCATCGGAGTTACAGCTGCACAAAATCTTGAATAGCAGGTTTTCCAGAAGGAAATAATTTTTTTTTCATCAAAAGATGGAATTTTTGTTCCATCTTTTCTCAGCTAAAGATGAGACGTCGTGTTTTCTTGACTTGATTATTCCAAGATGTTTTCAATTCAAGCATTCGGTATTCAACAAGAGTCAAACGCTATGTGCGTATCAATACTGCGTTTATGTCAATACTGCTAGCTGTTATTGCACGTTATTGCTGCGTATCGCCACTGTACATCATTCATGCGTGTAGCAGCAGCGTGTCACTGCGTGTGACTACTGCGTGTCCCTAATGCGTGTCGTTACTGCGTGTTATTGTTGCGTGTCGTTAATTCGTGGCAGTACTGCGTGTCACCACTCACACGCACTGGCGCTGCGATGTCACGTAGCATCATAATTTGACTGCTCCATGTACAGTAGGAGCCTCTGCTCCATATAGAGCAGAGCCATCACTAAAGTTTCTTACAGGAAACAAATCGACCGAAATGATAAGAAACCTGAGAATATTAAATTCTTATGGTGGCAACTGTTACGAAAAATAGGGAAAACTGTTGCATAATGGTTTTACAGTATGTTTCTGGAATATTACGAGTCGTGTTCTCCTCAGCCAAAACTTTTATCGTAGCTTCATGCCTTCTTTTATTTTTTTACTGCACTCTGTGAGTGATGTTAACAATTCAAGCAAGATGTGAATCTCTTGATGATGATGAAGTCGCCAATACTACGCTATATTATAAATGAAAACACACACTTAAGAATGCCTCATTAATCAATCCATAATGACTCTCAAAGTAATCGAAGTCATCAAAAACTATTCTCAATAGAATATTAAGGCAAAAATCTATGGAGGTTAACTCAGTCCTCATCAGCGAACTACGCGAGATGCGGCATCCTGTTCAACCCAACGCCCAGTTTGGTTGAACAGGAAAAATTCGGCAAGAAATTTTCGTGCCGAAAAATCCGGCACTCCAATTCAGTTATTCGCATAAATATTAATGGGAATATATATATTTATTTTACAAACAATGAAAAGCCGTGATAGTTTTTAGGTTTTCAATGCGGATAAGAAAGATTTAAATGTATTCCTATGAGTCTAATCATGGGAATATATTGTCAGATCTATGTATTGTGGTTCAAAACGATTCTTTTGCTACAAAAAAAATTAGTGTAAAGTTGTTGTCTTAAGCATTAAATAATGACCAGGGTGCAGTAAAAAAAAGAGCATGAAAACCTCATAATAGTCTGATAATAAATAATAGTAGTAACATTGTTAATAAAGCCTCTAGACTTCATGAATAAGTGAACCTCGCCATTGAACACCTCATTTCCATGCTGCTTTGTGAATGTGTACAACGTCTCCGGCTTGAAGTTCTTTGCTGTTCTACGTTTACTCGTTAATAGAGTACGATGAGATTGAGAAATCATTTACTGACTCTAAGAAGTTAATTGAAATACGGAAAATTTCACGAAATGTACAGAACCTTCTGAGCTGTGATATTTGACAGCAGCGTTGATGGACTGTCATTATCTCTGACAGAAAACAATGCCAACACAATTAAAGGTGAAGCGGAGCCATTGTCTTAAGAAGACAATGGAAGTCCCATTCAATTGTTCCTGTTGCACTTTACGTCCATGATTGCCACAGCAGCGTTTACTTGCCTCAACTTAATTAGAGATCTTCTCGCAAGCACCGAGGGTTCCTGAGATAGAAAGCCGGCAACACTCGATGAGCCGAGATATATTTAGATCGAGGAGGAAAAATTAAAAATTTTAACGAGCAAAATGTGCAACCTTGGGCACATAATCTTCAGTTTAACGTTGTTGGATGCTCGTACGATGGATGCTCGTACTTTAAATAAAATTTAAATTAATTATTATTTATATAAATTGTTATTAATTGAGGGAATTGTAAAAATTTTGTGTTGCTCATCTCAAACTGCTGAAGATAAATTCAATATCATTTCAATCTTACATAAGAATTTGCCTGGTTGACCAGAATAACGAAACACAACCGCCTTGTCAACTAGTAGAAATAAATCTACTTTCCGACGTTTCCCAAGTGAATTAAAAAACATCACCCAACACTAAATTATTGTGCTATCTATATTAATATCCTATTCAAAGAAAATCACTGAGCGTAAAATGATATGAATAAAATTGGCCGACAGGCTTCAATGAACTGATCTTCTGTGTTCCTTATCGTTTGTAGAGATACAAAAAGGGAATACATATTCATGTAAAAGGGCTGCAGCGACCGTCTGCATTTTAAGGATTGTTAATAACGTTATCAGCGCTGATACTTGCTGCAAAAATAAAATAGTGTTCGAGTAAATGTAATCAAGCAACTACTGCCCCAAACGTGACTCTCCCTGGCATGTCAAAGTTAATTCCTGATAACGCAGAATCATGTAGACCTTGCAGCCTTATAACACAGCGCATAACTAAAGCGTACACAAAGGTCCTAAGCAATTTGTGTTCCACGTAGTACGTATACGTATGTCTTTATGCATTGACTACGGAATTCCTTCATTTATAATGCGTTATTTATTCGTTGACTTCATTTACTCAGACATTTATCGTCAGATTTTCCCTCTGGTTTGTGATCACTAACCTAAGCATAATGGCTTCCTCATAATACGTTCGTCAAACAAGGAATTGTGTATCCTTTGATCTCCAAAAAGTGTGTGCCTGTTGTAAAGAAGTTTTATTATTCTAACCCATGCGCTTATCCCCTTTCAACCCCTCCTTTCATCCCCCTCCAGCCCCATTATCATGGCTCTAAGCTCTGGAACATTCCAGGCTTCAAGGTTACCCACTCAGCCAATCTGTTACTATGCCAGCACTTGGACCTTGTTTTTGTTATCTAAGCCATTAGTTTCTCCTTATAACAAAGCTTTCGGTAAAATCGTGTACGGTGTTTTCATTTCGTTTAGAAACGTAGATAATTACAAAGCATATTGTAATGTAAGTTGGGTTGATATAAATACTCCACAACGTAATGTCAACTGCCGACTGTCATTTTATTATTGCCCACTTTTTTCGATACGGCGTTGTTCTAGTATTAAGAATGTATCGATGTCAAAATCGTACGTTAATTGGCATCGCGAAGTAGATCTCTGAGTTTCCTTATTACTGATATTTAGTAGAGAGCCACTTGGTTTATAAATTAAATAATGTTTCACTGATAAGCTTCGATGACGTTCAAGCACAGCGAAGTAAGATCAATAGAATAAAAAGTCACTTCCAGTACTTCAGACAGATTTTTTATGATAAATTAGCCTATCCTTTTTAACACGTTTTTCTTAGCTTTTTAACTTTGATTCGCCATATAAACTTCGACCCTTATGTTTAAATTGAATACCACGATATAGATTGTTTACTTGTAACTCTTCGCTGTCCGAACCATGCCAAGTAATGAATATTCGGAAGCACGAGCTAGCGAAAATACTGCTTCACTAAATACGTAATAAATATATGAAAAAAAAAAAAACAATGGAAGTCGTGTTCCGCAATCGATACTAACGCGCTTGTACGTCATAACTATATTTCCGAGTCAATGAGAAACTACAACCACAAAGTAATCTATTCCTGGTTCATTAACTGAGATAACAGATATATTTTAGAATAATGAGGTAGCATATCATTTGCTGTACCATAACTAAGCAATTTTGTCCAAACGGGCATCAAGCTTGTAACAATAAATTTAGGTAGGCTTGAGGCTCCCTAAAATATTCTCAAGCCACCTTAATAATTTTATGTTCATTTATTAAAATCATGATTATTTTTTGGAAAAAAAATCCCCGACAAATTCAATATAATGGGTCCATATATAATTTTGAATAAATTATCATACAGCCAGTCATTCTTACCATAACTATGAACATAAATATCAAGGGCCAGAGCCCTTCTGTCTTTTATGTCTTTAAATCCTAGTAACGTCACTGCCCAGTTAGTTCCGCAAATCGGCTTTATAACTCAGGTTCCTCACTTATGACTGAACCGGCGTTACATATACTCTTTATTTCTTCTCTCTGTGGGTATTTACGTAAGATGATGCAACACTAGAGCCCGTGACATTCGTTTAACATTCATTTGTGGTTTCGCTCTTGTTTTTTTTAGCAAGAATGTTTATTGCATTCTTCATTCAAAGTGAGAATGAATACTAACGATCATCTTCCCGACGATCATAATTAACTCCTCCATTGATGGAACGAACGTAATTCACAAGTTAAATAATTATCATTTTAATGACCATCTGCAGTCCACGCAAAAAATTGTAAAATAGCTCTCCGGGACTCCATCGCCAATGATAACAATTCTGAATTTGTTTCTGGCCTTTCGCGAGACGAGCACCGCGAGACTGATCCTACATGTAAATCATCCATTGATTTAAAAAATTCAATTCACAGTTAAGTTGATGTTTCATTTTACCTCAATGGTTGTCCACAATGTACGTAAAAGTTAATAAATAAGTTCCCTGACTCCATCGCCAATGATAACAATTCTGAATTTGTTTCAGGCCTATCGCAAGACGAGCACCGTAAGGCTTCAGATGACCCGCGTGGTGTGCATCACGGTGCTGGCTGCTGGCTTCCTCACTGGCATGTTCATCCTCGCGCACTCCTGGATCAACACGCGCAACGCTTGCGACTGCGACTGTCGTGTGGTAAGAAAACTTCGCTGGCCTCTAACGTTCAAAAAACGGTTACTTACAGTGTAAACGTATAATTTACGTCATGTAACGTTGTTTTAGCGTTATTTACCAGGAGGGAATTGACGAGGAAAATTTATTCGAAAAAAAATCGACATCGAAAAATTCGAAAGTTATTTGTCACACCAGATTTATTCTTCAGGTTCGACAACACTATGATATGATATTTTCTCTCGCCATCCTCAAGACCAGCACTGGTGCTCAGCTGTGGCCATTGTACGATCTTCTTTACACGAAGAAATTAAGATGATTCCACTGCCCGTTAATGAAAGTAGACAAGAGTAATTCTAATGTTTATTGTCTGTGATACGGAGTTACACATTCATATTAGCACTAACAGGTTGTTACCATTGAAATGAGTAGATTAGTGACGGTTAGGAGTATGATCAATAATGAATGGTGTACGTACTCCAATTAATAACGCTTCAGCATGCGTGTTTGACATGTTCTGCACTTCTGCGCAGGCTCAAAACCTTCCCCTTCAAAGTGCAAGCATCATGGAGTCTTCAGATATCCCAAAAATTGCGAACCTAGATTCAACGCCAGCTATTGAGATCATCGAGAGCAATGCCATGGGTCCAGACGACAAGGATGATAAGGACGAGGACGGTCAAAGCAACGACTATTCTCAGATTGATCAGGAATCTCGCCAGATGGATATCCCTCTTCCCGACGACGATGTAAGATTCATGATGCTTTACAGAAATTTGCAAAACCTCTTCTTATGGAATTACTCATTGTTTACAAAATAATATTTATCATCAAATTGAAGTGAGAGAATCCAATCATACAAGAAGGTACAACTTCCGGGGTGATAAAGAGCAATATTAGCGACTACAAATCTTTTCTCTTGACTTTTCTGCTGAGTGAATGAGCTGAGGATGCTGAGTGAATGAGCTGAGGACGCGAAAATAACACACGTTCAAATTCGTTTGTAGTATGACAATGCAAACGAACTTTTCTTTGCAGGTGTCCACTGAACAAACTGAAAGTTCTAATGACGATATCAGCGAAGTAGAGGAAAATGGAATCCAGACTGCAGTGAACGACAACAAAGTTAAACTTCCCATTGATCTTCTTTTGGGCAACCCTGCTCTGGTGAGTGCTAGAAAAACGGTAGCAATACAGTTTGATTTAACCACTGGCCTCATCTAAGATAATGGAAACTATCATTTAGTCGTAGAATAACGTTACTTATGTACCTTAACCATTAGTCTTATCTAAAAGCATGAAAACTTCTTCTTTGCTTATTAACTGATTAAATTGTAGCATTATTTACACGTTTCAAAAAGAATTGCTCTATTGCATTTTTGGAGTTAATGAAAACCATTCCAAATTTTGCAGGCCGGCAGAGACGTGCAGTGCAAGGTAGAGAAGAAAATCCAGAACCTAGGAGGAGGAATTCTTTCAAAAACTATCATGGTGACATGCGACGATGACGATGAAGATGATGATGATGACAGCGAAGGCAGACAATTGATTAATCCATTCGGGGCAGATATTGGATCCCCAAGTCCAGTTGCGCCTCCCATGTCCATTCTTGCACCCATTCTCAAAATGATGGCTGCTCGAGCAGGGGCTCGTCTCCAGAGACAAATGCAACCCCAGCCAGTTTTTCACCGTCTCCCTCAACCTTTTTTCCAGCCCATTGGGGTTTCAGTAAGTGGTATGGGTCCCCGAAATTTCCAAGGTCCTTTCTCCAACTCAATTGAATCATCAGGACCCATGCCTGTTCCTATGATGGACTCCATTGCTGTCAGAGGATCAATCAACGAAGGCCCTGCCAACGATTTCTCACAGAATAGGCAAATGCCGGAAAATTCTATTATGGGACCAATGTCATTTTTCAACAATGAACCCATGCAGCAACATTATCACCACCATTTCGAGTCTGAGCCTCGTGCCCCCTCCTTCCCAAATGCAGAAAACATGCGATTTGAACCTCAGGGTGTACGTAATCCAGTATTTGGAGGACAATTTAACAGAGAACAGGAAGAAGATGAGCGTCCTTACAGCCCTGAACCAATTTTCAGGCCGTTTCCTCCCCAGCAAATTGCTCAGGAAGAATCGACTGAAGTAGAAAATACCCCGCCCACTAGGGTAATCCAAGGGTTCCCTCCCCAAATTCCGGAGGCTATTAAACAAATTGTTTCGCACATTATGAGATCTTCTAATAAGGAAAATTCCGATAAAGTACCAGTAATAGCGATCAAAGCTATTCCTCGGCCTTTGGAAGAAGAGTCAGAACCCAAGTCAAAACTTCTCCTTCCGTTTCCATTCCGTGCTGTGAAAATGGCCACCCGTAGCGGTCGCACGCTTGACGACGAAGAAGGGCGTTTGGAAGGCCCTTTCCCCCTCCCTCGAGGCGCTATTCCATCCGGGCTCCAGCCCATTGTTATGCCTGAGGCAGCTGGACGAGCTCTGGACAGTCCTGTGTCTTTACCATCCCTGCAGGAACTCCCAGCTATGAGGTTCTTCCCAGGACGTCTGCTGCGTCTGCCTGTTCCTCTTCGTACGTATGAATATTAATTGTCCACTTTCAAGCCTTGCCATAGACAGCACACACATTGAACATTACCCTACTTTCACGTTAGCCTGAAGCTTACAAATTATATTTTCTTTTCTTTCATTACAGCAAATGGCCCAGTGGTCACACACATGGAAATGAAACAGAATCCTAATGAAGTCACTACCAACGACGAAAAGCAGGATTCTACCACTGAAGTGCAGAAGGACGACAACGAGGGGAACTTTAATAACGTTGGACCCGATTTTGGACCTCCCCGTCTTCACACGGTCATCAGGGGGCCTGCCTCAAAGGAAGATGATGCTACCTACCAGAAGGCTGAAAATCTGATGCCCACTTTCCTGCAAAGGTTCCCCGTTCCCCCACCTCCCAGGTTCGCCGCTGAAGGCCGATCTGGAACTGTCAGGGAAATCAACCTGGACGCTGAGCTAGTCAGACCTGCAGAGAGCAGAGAACGCCACACAATCATGGTCAACTGAGAAGTTGAAACGCGCTAAATTACATCAGTGACATTTTCTTTGCGATTTATTTGAGTCTATTAAAAGTTTATCATATATATTTACAAATAAAATAATCGCTGGGTTTTTTAATAGAAAACTCACCAAACAACGCCCATGTGACACTAACATTTTATATTTACTCGAATTTTGCGAACATTTTCTCGTGGATTATTTTCTTCACAACCATTGACGCTGCTTCCACAACTATTCGAAGTATTATTATTCAAACCTTGTTGACTCTAAACTCATATAAATAAACTACAACTTTCCTCGCACCACCTGATGCAAGAGTCAGTGATGATAACTTCTGATACATACAAGTGGAGATGCAGGAGTCTAGAGTACATTTTAATACTATACGTCTTGTCGATATGCTTACTATCATTTAAGTAGTGTACTCGCTATTCATTGAGGTTTCTTCTGTATGGAAAACATCTCTCCTCGATTGTGATATAATTGGATTTATTTGTGACAGTATATAACATCTGTACAATAAAACATGAACACTTGTGAACTTTTTATTTATTGGTTTAGTGAAAAGCGGATATCATAAAATATTAATTGACTTTATCTCACTTTATCACAAATTTCATGGAATCTCGACAAAGTGAACCCAAATAGCGTTCATCCTCATCGAGTTCTTATGGACGTAATTAGCACGAAGTTCGTTGTTTTTCAACTACGTCATTTGTGCATTTTCGTTCATAAATCAACTCAGCTTCATTTCCATTTTTAAAGTCGTATTCGTTCTCGATTAAAAGCAAAAGACGCACGTTTTTATTAACTGTCTCACCCATAACTCTTTCATTTTGGGCAATTGAATATTCGGTGTATGGCCAGTCGGGTAAGATCTGACATCTATTGAGAAACTCATTTGTTTGATATGTGAAACATTTAAATGGCCGTCAGAGATCGATAATATCTCATAGCACAGTATATAGGTAATAGCAGCGTTCCATATCTCATAGCACAGTATGTACTAGCAGCGTTCCATATCTCATAGCACAGTATGTAATAGCAGCGTTGGCCAAATCTGGCTGGTTTTGAATTCTACACATCGCTAAATTTTCACTGCTAGGTGGGGCTCACACCCTTAACTCAGTGCTCCATTCTTGTCGTTCTCAACCACTCGGCCACAACAAATCGTTAAGAATTTCCTTGAGGTAAGTTTGAATAATTCAATACGCATGAAAATACTGAAATTTTATTTGCAAATAACTCTTTTTCAAGCTGGTTCACGAAAATTAATGTAAAGGAAACGAATAAAAAGGTATGCGAATTTATGCTACTCTATCTAGTATTCGAATTTCGTTAGAAGTACAGAGGCTAACTAATAAAGAAATTAATTGCAGCTATTAAAAGAAAATCAAACATAAACCTCAAAACCCAGAAACCTTCGGTTAGTTCTGTCGCGAAGACTATTTTATAGACATAAGTAATTCTTGCTCCTTCTGCCAAAGCTTCAAGCAGATGGCACTGAGTATAGGTTCAATGGCTCTTATTTCATCAGTGATGCCGTCTTGCGACAACATACTCCTCGCATCTCCGCCCCTCGCCAAGGTGTCCGCAGAATGCTGGGGCCGCGAGCTCGCGTGGTTGCAGGCGGTGGGCGGAGGCATACGCAACACTGTCACGTTGCAACGTTCTTCCAGGGCTTTTATATCGGCTTGGCTTGCTTCCCAGTCGCCATTTGACTCACTCGTCCTGAAAAAATAATCATTGAATAACGTCAGTCGTTTTCAAGAACATTCGCTATGTTCCGAGGAAAAATACGTTTATCGTATACGACCCATTATCCAAAACAGTGATAACTGTTGTTACCGTTATTATACAAAGATACTACGTAATTGTGGATACTAACCGCGATAGAACGTTCAATGTATCTGCAGGCAAAAGGTTAAGACATAGGGTACCTTGTGGCCAATGGTATGACGGTAGCCTTCTCGCCAGGCTGCACTGAAGTCGCCAGCAGTCGCGGCAGCTCTTGCCAGCCTTGGGAGTCGTTGATAGAGAAGCACAGCAGCACCCCATTCACGCCGTCTCGACAGGCCTTGAAACGCGACCCAGCTTTTATATTATAAATAATGCAACTATCGATAATGCAAAATTATCTGTACTATTCGTTTAATGACTTACTTTTCCAGGCTGAATAAGTTGCAGTTGTGGAAAAGACATACACGATCATGTGGTAAAAAAATAAATTAACCTGCAATCAGACAATACAAAATTATAAACTCTGTTTGCGTACAGAAAAGAAAAGTGAAATATTCGTTTTAAAGAAACTACAGCATTGAACGCGTTTCACGCTCAAAATTAGTTAACCTCACCCATAAAAGCGGACAATCTCGAAACGGACTATAATTTTTTTTTAATTTAAATTTTATTTTTTTTATTATTTTAGATTGGGATCGGCTTCTTGAGATGTAACATTTCATTCCAGAATTAATGATTGACCTTCTGGATATAGCAGACTTACACTCGCGATATATGGGATTGGTATTCATCAAGACAGTTTCTATGCTAGCTGGAGGGCATGATTCTGGTATGCTTGGCAATGACATTAAATAAAACCTCTGCGATCCCTTTGAAATGAGAATCTACATTCTTATTAGTTGTCTACCATTCGAAAGTCAGCATAAACCTGATCATTAAGAATTACTCTATCAGAAGTATTGACTTGAAATTAAACACAACGACATTAATCACATTATTTCAAAGCCAAATTGTTCATTCATGTCCAAAGCAATGCTAATTATCTTTGTTTTACGGTGCGGACAAAGACGCTGAACTGTAAACATATCGTGGAATAGACTGCGTCAAAGTGAACATAGTGGGATGAATAGTTATGTAATATTCATTACAACAATTAACTGGATACTTAAGTTAACTAGCGAGGCTAGTAGATTTTGTATAAATTAACATAGTGGGAAGTATTCTTCTGCAATATTTATCAATACAATTACCCTGATACTCACGGGCAAAATGTGATCATATCGCCTCACACTCCATTCGCCTGCTTCCCAAAGCTCCAAGCGGAAAAGTATCGACTTGCCGCTAATCTTTGGAAAAGGCAACCTTTCAATTAAGACGGCAGCGAATTAGTGCTTTCAGTTCCAAAATATCACCAAATGAACTCATAAGATTGACTTTGCTAAGCTAACGCAATTCGTTTCTAGGAACTGAAAGTTGATACAAACATTTCTTGCTTTTTAATAATTTTGACTTACTATGCAAAGAAAAAGTACGAAAGTGAAAAATCGGTAGCCATCACCTTCTAAGTAGTTAGTTTGTAATTTGCTTTAGCTCTATGATTTTTTATTTTAATGTTGCGTTTGTGCTCACTTTCACTTTAAATAAACTTCGAAACCCTTGTTACGTACGAGACCATAATTTTACCCTCTATGATTTTTCTTTTCTTATCGATGATTTTCTCATTGCAACGTTGAGTCGTGATCTATTGAGAGCTCCATAGTAAAAATAAGAAATTGAATCAATGAGGTACTACAGAAAAAGAGCAATTGTCAGTTTTATACTTTTGAAACTGAACACCTTGGCAGGCTTAGACGAGCTGAGTTACATGATGCTATTCACAGAGGTGGGCAGTAGCGCGCTACATGTCGCGGCCGCTACATTTTCAGTAGCGGTAGCGGCGCTACATTTAAGCAATTGTAGCGGTAGCGGTAGCGCCCGCTACATTTCAAAATGGCGCTGCCCAGCTCTGGCTATTCATGTAAATTGTAAAGTAATCAGTCTTGAATATTCCCGAATCATGTGATCCACATAGTTCACATTTTAGCAATTCATGACAATCATGTTCATTTCACGAGTGAAGTTTCTACAAAAATGCAGGATGGCTGCGAATTTTACAATTTCAAACAATATATTTTTAATGATTTTTGTTACAGAATAGACACCTTCGATTCGAACTTGAAGCCTGTATGAGGAGAGTTTTTTGTTGACTTATAGTAATACCGCAAATACAGTCATGTTTTCGGCTATTATTTAATTCTTTATGATAGATCGTAGGTCAATAAACTGCAGTCAAAGCCGCAACAAGCGCAGCTAGTCATTTAAAAGATATAAATACATTCAATTGGCTATGAGTGTGGAAAAAACATTCGTTGAATGAGACTTGCGTCGTACTATAGAATTCTACTAAAAGGATCACTCACCTTCATAGGCCAGTAAATGACATTAGCTTCGATGCCAGACACAGCTTCTTCGCCGCTCACTTCACTGCAGACCTCACGCCCTGCCAAGCGACTCCTCGCCCACGTTTTACCCGAGCCTGGTCTTCCGCACACGTAAAGTTTGTAAGAAGCTTGAGTCGTCGCGGCAGGGAAGTCCGGTTTTTCCAGCAGGCCTAGGGACAACCGGGCAAGCAAGAGCACTGATAAAGTGATTTGATTTAGGACATCACTAGCGACAGGTTTTTGTCTCGATTTAGTTTGATGGACCTTCTCTTAGATGAAAAATAAATCTAAGATGAGGTGATGTGATTCATCAGGCTGATGGACCTTCTCTTAGAAGAAGAAATAACATTTAAGATAAGTTCGTGCGATTCATTAGGCTGACGGAGCTCCTCTCAGAAAAAAAAAACGAAAAAATATCGAAAAATGTCGTTTCTGCGATTCATTATGCTGATAAACGTTTTCTTAGAAGAAGAGAAAATATCGAAGGTAAGTTCATGCGATTTATAAGACCATCAGTATGAACGTTGATAATCATAAAGGTTAAATGAGCGTTCATAACAATCGCGTCTTTTGGCTTTGAGTGTGCAGAATATTTATACAAAAATAGAGCACTAACAAATTCGTTATAATCTTTTATTCAATTAAAGTTAAAGTTCCAGTTTTTTATTAAGCCATTGAAAAACATCACATACACTATAGCCTTATAGGTATGGCTAACGGACAACGTTCAATTAAATAGGCTGAAGTTTCAGTAGTTCTCCAACGCGGTAGAAATTGCCGCTAAAAATATGTCAACATTTTTGTCAATGACAAATTCCGAGATAGGTACTCATTTTGAGTCAATGCGCCTCGACAGAAATGGCATACCAATATAGGTATATATATATAAAAGAGCGATAAAGTTGCAGAAATGTAAAAAAGTCGTATTTTCGGGTACCCAAACACAGCGACCGCCGACCTGTGTTTTTATCTAGTATTCTAATTATATTGTATGTATTGCCCTTGGCGACTTGTTGAAGCAACAATTATACCTTTACTTTATTATTTTATAGTTATATTTACGTGAAAATAAAGAAAGGCAAGAATTGACGTTATTATTTCACCGTGTTATACGCATATAACAATCCTATAGATATTGTTTAATTGTATACTGCTGAGTAAAAAACTGTTCAGTAATTGGGATCATTGCTTGTCTGTCTAAGTTTCGAAATATTAAATCGCACCGGCAGAGAAAGAAAAAAATAAATCAGTATAATAAATAAATAAAAAATAAAAGAAAAAAATAAATCAGTTTTAATTAATATTTTAAAGCTAATAACCAAAAACCAACTGTTTTATAGGAGAAAATAAACTGTGCTTGCATATTCTACATTATTATGACAACACACAACAATAATGTGCATTCACAATTCGGTTCCGCTCACCAAAAATCTTCCGCCTCTCTGTTCCAGGCATCAGTAAACTAACGTACTGTCCCTCATTGCATTTCATATTTTCTGTCATTGAAGATTGACGACTTGTTCTTTTGATACCTCTTTCTCTAATTTTTTTCAACTATTTATCCTTTTTTTATTCGATTCACCGCTCATTTCTTGAAAACTATAGTAAGGATAAATGATTAGTTTTATTTAATCACAATGCACCAGCTTCGTTGCTACAAGATAACTCCCGTGGAGATAGTCGAATGGCAACTGCTGGAATCTGATGCTTCTTATTCAAAGGAAAACTGAAGACATCCGGATGCTCGGATCTACGGTTTCAAATACAGTTGCTAGTGTCATCCGTAAGTGTTTATTTGGGAGGTCAGGATGGAGCTGCCCATCCCTCAACGGACTTGGCAAGACCAGTCGCTATCTGTTTCGTCGTCGGTTTTTTTACTTATTATTATTTTTTAAATATACTTATATACATACAAATTTTGAACATATCTGTTCAAAAGGCTAGTTTTTAGATCTATTGTCAAGAATCTGCAACAGGCCAAACTTGGTTCATTCCTTAGTTAGACTACCTAAGTTAGTGCGGACACTACAATGCTGAATTCTCAATTCTCTATCTACAATATATATACTTGTTGCGTAGTTGTTACTTGTTAGTATTAAAATTGAAGATGTGTCGTGTCAATATACTTCTGTTAGTTCTGTCGGTGATGCACCTCATCATAATTCATAACCAATCATAGAAATTAGCATAGAACTTGCAAATGCCAAATTTTAATTGAAATTTAGAAATGTGTGATTCACTGCATCACTGATGGTGATTGGTGAATGGTGATGAGTGATTACACTTACAGTGATTAGGTACCTTCTTATCCCCATGACCCCATCGGCTGACAATCTTCATCATTAAACATTTTAATAGAATGAAACAAATTTCCATTAGGTACCCCGTACCAGATAAAGTTAGAAGAATTAAGTTGATTGAATCAGTCATAATTTCATGTAAAAACTGTAATTGGGTTGAGTCATTGAGAGACTGACTGACTGACTGAGTATTGACTATTGAGTAATATTGAAAACTCAAAACTATGGAATGTCAATGAATGAATGATGAGTGCTCAAAGTTCAAAGTGGTAAACCAGAGATTTTTTAGAATCAGTTCATTACAACTTATAGACAACACTAAATACTTCTCTTCTCTTTAACTTCACTCACTGGTCACTGCTTGAGTGCTTGTTATTTGTTTGTATGCAATTGCAACTAATCTAAATCTTATGATCAATATTTAAAACACTTCTATGTTCTACCTGTCCAATCTATCTTGAATTTTCTGCACACTTGTGCTCAATGCACGGTTGTGCTTGTGTAAAGTCATAGTCATAGACAAAGCTTGAATCAATAGGCATAATAAATAATTTAAAAAATATAATACAGGGTGAACCAGAATTAAATGACCCTTTTAATTTGTTAATAAATAAAAAACTAAGAGCGTTATGAGGTTGAAACTTGTTTTATTTTAAAGCAGAACATTTTTATGGTAATTATAGGATACTAAATATTGTATCCTAGTTTTTAGGATACAATAACTAACTAGGATACAATATTACATACAATATTTTAACTAATACATATTATTAATACATAATAAATATTTAACTAATACAATAATAAAATATTGTAATAGGATACAGTATTTTAACTAGGATACAATATTACTATAAAAATGTTCTTCTTTTAAATAAAACAAGTTTCAACTTCATAACGTTCTTAGTTTTTTATTTATTAACAAATTAAAAGGGTTAGTTAATTCTGGTTCACCCTGTATATAAAAATGGAATAAAAAATTTATTGCATGTGTGGAACATCATTGGACTACAAAGACACAGGACAGGAGACTGGCCTCTTTAGAAATAGGTAGAAAGTGCTATGTTGTCTTTAAAAAGTAATTTCTAAACCCAAATATTTTTTAATTTTCTAAGCAACTCACAGCCACAGGCTCACAGTCACAAGTCAAGATTTAAACCTAGTCTTGTGTATGATAATACTACTTACTAGTATCCATGATACTTTGCTGGTCTACTAAACTATTTACAGGACTCAAAATTGAACTTAAGGATGAGTCTAAAAACTTCTTTGCTTTGCCGCAATGCCAGGAATTCAAATGACAGATGAAAATATGAAATCTCAAAAATCAGTTCAAATATTTTTTCTTGGTTATTAATTGTTGAAGAGAAAAATCATCACATTAACTTTGAATGCATAGGTACATTTTGCACAAAATTTAACAATTCCAAATTTCCAGTATAAACTTATACAAAAACCTGAACAGCAGGCAGCAGCTGTTTTTGAATGAGCCAAAACCTAAAATTTATCTTGCTAGGCTGCCTGATGCTCATTGGCTAATTTTATCCCTTTTGTTGTTTTGTATCTTGAATGTTTCATTCTTTCAGATGACTCCACTTTGAATAACATCAAATCAGGGTGATAATTTAAATATGCTTCACTGAAATCTTGCAGCCAAATCATGCACTTTGTTTTACACTGGGATAGAAAGTAATTCATGTAGAATGTAGCAGGAAAGTTGGAGCTCCAAAATTAGCTGGAAATCTCTGGTTGCAGCATGAAAGAATCAAACCCTACAAAGAAGCAATCCTAGTTTTGATATGTAGGTTATTTTCTAAATAGTTCATTTTATGATCTCTATTATTAAAATTGTTTCTTTTGCAGATAATCAAGATGGAACTATAACTATCCATTTAGTTATTTGGTTGAAGAAAATTATTAATAACTTTATAAATGCTCAAATTATGGATAAGTATGTTATTAGTAAACAAAATCAATGTGAAATGAGAATTGAGGCCTTGCCAGAAGATTTGGAGCACATTCCGGTGGTCTTGAATGAAGAGTTGTTATGTGATGAAGCTCGTGGATTGGTAATGGACATGTACGTTACAATTTCTGAAATGAATAATTTAATGATTATTAAACTACACATTGCTGTTGCTTAAATGCTGAAGAATTAATGCAACAATTACATAGTCCATCAAAAATCAATTCAAACTAAGATTATTGAAGTTGCTTCCTTGTTGGTTATACTAGGAGTAAATTAGATAACTTTAATATAAAACATTATTTTACATGTTATTGCCAGGGATTTTATCTTTCACCAAAACCTCTTAACACTCTTTGTGTTAACATTTGCCAAGTAAAGATATGAAAAATTATTTTCAAATATTTACACAGGTGTAGGTATATTACTGAATAAAGATTCTAGTTTCCAAAGATTGATTGATGATGAAGAAAATGAATGTGGCACATTAAATTTGAATGTAATAGTGCCATGAAGTATCAAACTTATCAAAAATTCATTGCATAGTATCAAACTTAGGTCTTAAACTTATTTGGGTAGGTTGCCTTTCTTTTATATTTACATTGGTTCATGCTCCTTTGAAGTATGTTCATCAAGTGTAGTAAATACCTTGATTTTTTAGCATATAATCTGATTGCTTTGTGAGTACCATTTTTAAGTAAATTTTGAATAATAACACCCACCTCCATGCTAATTTGAAGAAGCATGAGATACAATGTTTTAAATAAATGCCAAAATATGTTTGTGATTTGGCATTTGACGTTTATTTTACATACCTACGCACTGTGTTTGGTTTAGAAATTCATGCCTAACTATTCAACATGTGTTTTTTCAGGCTGCAGTCTGACCCATCTGTGAGGGTGATGATGATAGGTGAAAGTCAGAATGCTGCATCAGTAGAATTGTGTTTGAAAACAATCAGCTCTGCTATGGATGTTTACAGTGCAACTTTTGACACAATTTCTGAGTGAGTCTACTGCTTAGTAAAATTGCATTTCTTCAGAAATAAATACTGTCAATGCTGCAATGCTTGGGCAAAGAGTTCTTACAATTTTACAAAGCCATCTATGCCTACATTTATGAGAAAGCTCCTGTTTGAGTGTTGATTTTTTTTTTTATTGATAGTATATAATCTTAGTACCTAGTTGAGAAAGCTTATAAGCATTAGTTCTACTGAATATAATTTCAAAAATATTTATTTCACTATAATATTTTTTTTGCCTACCATTCTCTGCAATTTTAAATTTGGAAATTTTGACTTTCAGAGAGGAGCATATATGGTCATCTTCAGTGGCTGGACTAGAACGTCTCAGAGTGCTGTGGGAACGCAGAGGTCTTGCTGTGCTGGTTTCCTGTTCAGCCCTTCCTCCTCATTTGCCTAGGTAGATATGGCCTAAAATCAAAGAGAGAATATTTAACATTATGAGTGAAAGATTTTTTTTATCCACTTACTGTTCTCTGAATTATGCACCAATAATGTGTACCTATTAGTTGATTTTTCTGCACACAAATGTGTTGAATTGTGTCCATTAAGATGAATAAAATTTTTTCACCTAAATTTTTACTTTGAGACAGATTGCCATGTTTGTTGGTAGTCTATTAATCAACAGGTTTGTATAAAATTCCAAAATAAATTTCTTCTCTTGTTTCTATGTTGCTCATTTGAATTTTTTTATTCTACATTTTAATTTGCTTGCATGATGAGATACCATCACCTTTGCTATGAGGTCACTTCAGTAACCTCTTCAAAGAATTTGAGCTGTGCTCTTTGCCTGATATAACTCAGTACTCACTGCAGTGAGTGACAGAGAGCGCATTTTCTTGTCGACAAAAACTTTTCGACAAGGTCACAGACAGACGGACAGACAGACTGACATGGTGAGCACAATGGTGCATTTTTTCCATAAATGAGAAAATGTGCTAAAAAGCTCAAAATGCCATTTTATTGACAAACTCTTAATAATAAATTTATATTGTTTGAAAAGATTTAGAAACGCCAGGTAGTGAAATTTTCAGTTTAACCATAAAATAATTTAAATAGAGTGAAAAATTAAGATTATGTTGGTATATTTAGAATTATACAATTTAAGGTTTACTAGTATTAAAAGCATTGTACAATTTCAAGTAATTGCCTTGCTCTGCAATTCTCATGACATAATTTCAATGACATAGATTCCTATAATCTTTGGCTACAGGCTTTATTTTTGTATGGATATGCATGTTGAAAGATCAACACTGAGCCTTGATTCACTAGTCTGGGATGTAGTACCATCCGTTGTGTCCATTTTGTCTTAGAGAATGATATCCATAGCAAGATTTGAAATCATGAAAATTTGTCTAAAATTTAGATTATAATTTGAAATGCAGTTGAAATATTTCTAAGGCTCATATCTTTATTGCAAACATTATCCGTCTTCTTTAAGACTCAGTATCATTTATACTTATTATATTTATGTGGTACTTATGGTGCTTTCCAAGTTACAGTCACTACATTGTTATGCATTCTACAGGTTTCAAGCTCCGCGCCTAAAAGGCAGGAAACCACCAAGATCTCATATCTGTATTGCAAACATTATCCGTCTTCTTTAAGACTCAGTATCATTTATACTTATTATATTTATGTGGTACTTATGGTGCTTTCCAAGTCACAGTCACTACATTGTTATGCATTTTACAGGTTTCAAGCTCCGCGCCTAAAAGGCAGGAAACCACCAAGAAGCGGCGTTCACTCGTCCCGAGGCTCGTATCGTGACTCGCACCGCGGCTCATCGCACTGCTCGTCCAACGGCTCCTCTCGTGGCTCGTTCAACGGCGCCTCTCGTGGCTCGTTCAACGGCTCCTCTCGTGGCTCGTTCAACGGCTCGTCCAACGGCTCTTCTCGCGGCTTGTCTAACGGCGCCTCTCGTGGCTCGTCTTACGGCTCCTCTCGTGGCTCATTAAACGATTCATCTCGTGGCACATACCGTAGCTCGTCCCGGATGGATGGGAGAAGCTTTCACAACAGTCGTAGAAGCAACACCTGTAATGTCAGCGGCAAAGATAGTAATTTCCCGAATGATTTCCAGGAAACATCTTGATGATGCGTTTATGAGATTTAGGCTGATGAGATATAGGCTGAGAGTAAATGTTGCTGCGCGTGCCAGCCACGTTTCTCATCCCAGATTCTACTGCTACGAACATGATATCAAGTTTGTGCAATTGTGCTCTCTGGACGTCTTTTTTTATTGGAAAAATAACCAATTCTAGTCAATGTCAAGTACCTAGTGAGTTTGTAAAGGTTACAATAAACATCACCAGGAGAGGAATTTGTCCCAGAAATGTCAATGGTGGGGCAGGGTAATTTTAAGGTATACAAAAATACTGCGAAATGTTTACTCTGGAATCGAAAAGAAAACACCATGAAGTGTGTTTTAATAACAATTTCATTAGTTTTGAGCAACAGATCATTCAAGTTATTGCATGATCATTCAATACACTGCCGTAGTTTTCTGTAGTTCTGCGCGTCTCTGCAAAACCCCTATTCTCGTATAAAAAGAAAATCTGTTGGTGTGTTTAATAGTTATGAAGAGATCAATCAAGAGATTCAACATGACAAGACGTTCTCCTGAAATCGCAGGGGCTAGTATGCCAATATATGTGTATATGTATAACGGCTGACAGTAAAATCGTCTCCTAACTAGTATTCCTGCGGCCTTCAAAAATGATGGCGGTCAGTCAAGAAAATGCAGGAAAATTTTATTCGCGCAGAATTCTATACTCCCCTCCAAACTTCTAGGCAAGGTGCATGCTGTTGAGCTCTTATGGGCATTGATCGAAGCTGAAACACTCCACCCAAATGAGAGGGCCTCATTGAAGGTGCTCAAATGGAGTTGAATCTGGTGAGCGCGAGGTTAAGGAATGTCGTAATAAAAGATGCGTCGCCTGTTGAAAATTTCCTATTACAGCGGCTGAATTGCTTTGTCTACTAACGGCAATACCAACTGAAATGCCAATATACCTACTGCATCTGAGCGTGAACCCACTCTTGAAACGCATCCCCGATACTCCCATTCCCAACGCCGTGAGGAAAATGAGGAATGAGGATACTTCCCTGTCCCATCCTGTTTGAGGAGTTTCAAGAATCTAAGTGGAATGACAAATGATCTTTCCAAGTTTCGAGCTGTGACGTTCGTTTGTTTGTACGTAATTACTTACTTTGTGTTTTTTCATTAAGATCTATAACGCTGCGCCTGTTTATGTATTTAAGAAATTATTTTTAAAATTGATAGTTTGTTGATAGTTCGTAAATATGTTTTAATTTCTTTATTTAAATGGGAGCAAAAATTAGTCATCGTTATGACGGCTTTAACTTCTTCATTAAATTTGATTTCAAAATTCGGATCGTACAGATACACCATGCCTCTTATACAGGGTCCTTCAAAAAAATCCCTGATTTCAGTAGGCTTTTGCAAAAATCATACGACACATACAAAACAATTAATTTTATTTGTAAATAGCTTATTTGATGCCATTTTACATCATATAGTACACTTTACTTGGTTTTGAAAATTATGTTCGATAAATGATGTCCCCCATTGTTAAGACATTCACGAAGTCTTTCCCTGAAGTTGCCCATAGTTCTTCGTGTAACTTCCCTTGTAATGGCTGCCACTTCCTGCCTAATGGCATGTTTTAGTTCTTGCAGATTTCTGGGACGATGTTTGTACACTTCAGCCTTTAGGTAGACCCGCAGAACTCACACTGCTCGCCGGTCCATGGAAATGTTAAGAGAGTTGTTCGTTGGACGTCTTGCTTCTTTAAGAGGAGACATTTCCTGGCCCCCACGCCCACGGTCACCCGACTTATCACCTTGCGATTTATTTCTGTGGGTCTACCTAAAGGCTGAAGTGTACAAACATCGTCCTAGAAATCTGCAAAAACTAAAACATGCCATTAGGCAGGAAGTGGAAGCCATTACAAGGGAAGTTACACGAAGAACTATATTCAACTTCAGGGAATGACTTCTTGAATGTCTTAACAATAGGGGACTTCGTTTATCGAACATAATTTTCATTACGAAGTAAAGTGTGCTAAGTGATATAAAATGGCATCAAATAAGCTATTCACTAATAAAATTAATTGTTTTGTATGTGTCGTATGATTTTTGCAAAAGCCTATTGAAATCAGGGACTTTTTTTGAAGGACCTTGTATAATCGCTCATTCACTACCCTTATTCAGACAACTTCACATCTATCTTACACGAAAAGACGTATCACATGATTGTTCTTGCACCTTAAAATTAAGCAACACGTCCAACAACACCAGGACCTGTGGCACTGCTCAACTGCACGAATTATTTCGCTTTGGACGACCAATCAGCCAAACCAGCACAAATGTACAGAAATTCGAAAATGTCCGATACAATATATATAAGCTAGGGATACATACAAGTCTCGCCGTTAGGCTTGAGATCGAAACTATTTATTACTGTAAGTACTTGGCCGCGTACTCTTAGCGAAGTATTGAAAACGACGACTTGCGTGTCTCCCTCAAGGAAAACTGTAATTCAATCACCAATTCTACTGACGGGTAACTTTTTAACTTCAAGATACGTTTGTATCTGTGTCCGTTGTCGAAGGGTTGACATCAGCCTAGCTTTCACAGTCGAAGGGCATTATCTTATAAATTTTCCAGTTAATTTAAATTTGTTTCATCATTTAGCGAGGTTTTTGTTAAAATTACAACTTTCTCAGTTTTAAAAATTGTATTTGAAATTTAATGGATATAAAACGGATTTACCACTTTTTTATCAGAGTGATCTGGTGAGTTTTTAAGCAACTCCTCATAATTCTCCGTAGCTCGTCATAATTCGCGATCTTTTATTTTTTATTCTAATTGAAACTATTAATCTGTCAGCAGGTATTGTTATGTTATTGAAATGAAGTTTCTATTTTTCTTAAGTGTCATTATTCATCCTGAATTAATGATATCCTTACGCAAGAAGTCATCTTCATTTAGCATTAAATATTGTAGTTCTTTAATTAATAAAAATTAACTGAGGAAAAACTGCGCTCAGTCTTCGGATCTCATGATTTTGTGAGATTGTGAGAATATAAATTTATTCTTGAAATTTCTGACGGCCAACTCTTCAGTGAGCTTGTTGGAAGTTCGCCCCAATTATCGCAGGAGTGTTACTAAATTTAGGTCCTGTTGCCTAAACGACAAATTAGAGTAAACAATTATATAAACCAAGATTCCAGTAGTCGGCAATAGAAATGAATGCTTTATTCATACGTTAATTATTACGTTTATGGGCAACAGAAAATGGACAATGAATGTACGAGAGACGCGTTAAACTTGGCTATGGTATAAGTGCTACTCATACTGGGTAATGATCTAGCATGCATCTCCTACCATAGTTTTGTTGAGGTGATCGTCTTGTATTACCCACATTTTACCTAGATTTTTTTTCCGCTAGAGCTCATTTTTTCGTTAAATGCGTTGAGAATTTAGCGTGGAATTTGCTGAATTGGCAATACTGGTCTTAACTAACATTGACCGGTTACGGGACGATCCCGTATGTTACTTTCGGAACTATTTTAGGTTCCCGACAGATCTAACGGATATCACGAGTTAGCAGCGTTGCAGATTTCAAAGCTTATAATTTTTTCCGTCCCATTTTTCAAGTATATACTTAATTCTGCGCTGAAAGAAGTCTACAACGCAAATCAATTTAACTGTAGATTGTTTGGTTGAATTGTACAGAGGAAAGTACCTGTGAGTTCGACGAAGTAAACATTTCTGTTCTAATCAGCTCGGTGTCAATCTCTGGCAGATAATTGCGGCTCTAGGACACGAGGTTAGGTCCGTTTAGGATGTGACAATCTCGCCTAGCATCCGCTCGAGATTTCACCGGCAGCCTCTGTGTTGTGGTCGCCATTCGTCGAGTGGCCGCTCTTGGCTTGGAAAGGCAACATTCTGTGGTGAGACTGTCTGGACCTGAGTTTTCATATACAAGTTTTCTCATGTATTACCTGTTGGAGTTAAGCCCGAGATGAATAAAATTAATACCGATTGAAAGTGAAGCTCATTTGAAGGTTGATAGTAAATATCATCTGTCTCGGATTATTAGTTTACAAAATGCGAGTGTGTGGCATGTTTTCGTGTGAAATATAATTCTGTCTGGATTATTAAAAAAACACCATGATAGCTACGTAAATAATTATTCTGATCATTTCAGTGATCATCGTCGATATGGAAAACGTCACCAAGACAGAAAGTAAGAAAGCCCATTCTGGATCATCAAACGACATAAAGCCTGATATGAACGATGGTCTCCCAAAGCTCTTAAATTTCTGCCCTATTCGTAAACCGGTTAAAACTGAATCAAAATCTAATCAAGGGAAGGAAGTGGAAGTCGACGTCAAAAGCCACAAGAAGAATGCATCGCAGGAACGCGCAGTGATTGAAGGCAGTCTCATTGTGTACTCACACTCAAAGGTGAGCCCTTGAGCGTCATGTGTTTGTTCACTGCAATCTCATTTATTTAATGATGTGCACATTCAAAAGTTATGCACGTGCGATTGATGACCAGAGAATTCGTTGATTTAAATTATCAGGGAGTGGAACAATTCTTCAGATGACGGTAGATTAAAAGGCAAGTTTCAGGATGTAGTTTTTGTTTATTAACGACGTTTCGAATGCAACAAACATTCATTTTCAAGTTAGAAGATGCATTAAATATTGAAATTTTGGTGGAAATAAGTACATAATATACTGTAAGTAAATAGGATACAACAGTCAAACTTGGGACCGAAAATTACTCAAAATTATTTCAGAGTTCAAACAAATCCGACTCCAGCTATCTATTTTCTGACTCCATTTATCTATTCTCTGATTATAACAATTTATTACCCAAATCGGATGACTGAAGGCCACAAGACTGACGAAAGAGTCCTCAAATAAATTGTGCTGAATAACATCAGAAGCACAACCGCAGCCGACCGAATCGAACTCCTGATTTACTATAAAAACATGAAACTGGAGAACATAATAATGAAAAATAATGCGTGCAAAAAGTCGGGCCCATTACAAGAAACTAATGTTATTTACAAATATTCCTGCCACAAAGAAGGTTGTAGACTTCTCCAAAGGTAAATTACATTGGTTTGACCAGCACGACTTTGAGCCGCCGCCTAGGGAGCGCAGCCGTGCTCCACCAATTTTGTGCAGCAATAAGCCCTGAATCGAACGCCTTGGATCTTTCCGGACATCCACCAATCAGCCGTGAACCACTCGGCTTTGTCTTCCTCCGGCCTCGCATAGAACCTGCAGGCCGCGGATCGAATCTGACTTCCGGGCATCGTTATATTACGTAATTTTACGTTCACCGCCTGTGAGGTTAGGTTTCAGATAGCATGGTTCTGTTCCAAAATTTATCGTCCTTCGACAAGTGTCCGTTCGACCGAGGGCTGGTTCAACTCACGGCCTAGAGACGGACGGCTTGAATTGTTGAAGGCTACTTTCCGGAAGGCAGGAATCATGATGGTCCATTACATCCAGGGCAGTGGTGGTCTTCGGCAGGCGACCCGCCGCCTAACATGCCACCTCCAGACCGGAGGACCTAAGAACCACATGAGAGAGGCTCATAAGGAGACCCTCACTCGCGCGACATTGGAGACCCACACCAGAATCGTCATGAGATGCCGACACCACAAGACTGGCCATAGCTGAGGCTCACATCATCAAGCATGAGTCACCACTATTAATTTACAAACTACCTGATTTGTCAGGACGTTGAAACTGTTCTCGTAATTTGAGCTTTGATTTCAATCTTTATCCATAATACCCTATGTTTGTACTAATGTCATTTCAAAATTTTAAATTCAAGTGTTGCATAACTCTTCCCCTACTTGATAATGAATGAAGTTGCATTCGAAACGTCGTAAAATTATAATAAAATGTCCCTTGGAAACCTGGTATTTGAGTTTTCAATGCCTATCAAGAGCCTAATTCACCGAAGCCCGAATAGAGAAAAACGATAAGAAAATTGTCAATAAGAAAAACTTTCTGGTCTTCGATGAAACCTGCATTAAAGAACAACTTCTGCCAAACTGCACCAATATTCAAAAAATTGTGCACATTCTATCTCAAATGTCTTTCTTGTCTGAAATATTGAAAGAAACTTACGTACGTTAATTTGAGATTCGCGTTTATTTAGCCTATAGATTTGTTTATGATCTGTCTAGCGCGAAATAAGCTTTAATAAATCAATTAAACTTTATTAACTGTAAGCGTACGTAAATAAAATCATTAATCATTTGAAGACTCTAGAAACTAGGCTCACAACAGTCGGATGGCACCATTTTCCTGTGAAAACAACAAAATCCCTGAACGCTGGCGGCAATGTGTAAAGGATCATCACTGAACACCTAAACAAATGCTTTTAAGTTTGTATCAACTTCACTGTGCACGGAACCCACTAGAAAAATTTATTCTATAGGAGGCATTCGACTTCGGTGTTATTCCACCGGCCTAGGCTGTAAATACAGGTAGGCTTCATGACTACTAAACATACACAACGCAACGAACGCTCGCCAATAACATTACTAGATCAGGATTTACTGACTTAAGAACGAAGGATGGTTTGAAGAACGTGTCCAATAAAAAGGCAGATGTGCCTAATCGTTTCTTTCAATGCGATTCTACAGAATAAAAGGAAAACGAATTGCCGGAGATGCATGGCAATGACTGCAAAGAGGAGCTGTGGGATTGTGAGATCGCCGATGAATGAGAGCCCAGACGGTCTGAACTCCGGCCTCCAACTAGCGAAAGAAATTGAATTCTTATATGTTCAGTAAATATATTATATTTCACCTCTTTCTCCAGCATTATTTTACAAAACAGAACAATAAAAAACTATCGTAATTATAATGGGCTAAGATTGGGATTTGTATTCCATGCATCTCTATGAGTGAAGGGGAAGAACACCTCGAAACTCTCTGCCAACAGCTTGAATTACGAATTCCAGTTAAAGTAAATTGCTTTGATTACAACAGCCTTCGTTCTCTTTTACCTCGGTAGCGCACATCTCTGTACAAAGTTCATTACATGAGGAGAATGAGGTCCAGGCATAACATTTTCATTTATGTGTTAATATATTAGACCTGTTATATTACACACACGCCTCAGTGTACTGCAACACATATCGGAATTCCCTTATTACTAATATCGGCTTAAGCAGGGATGACTCTGAACTTGTATTCACAGTGCACGTCTTGATTCTGTAGCTAACGATTGCAGCAAAACCCGTGAAGAACCTGCCGAATTATAATGATGAAAAACAATTAATTCAGAAACCAAGACTTCAATCGCTGAACTTGAATATGTTCAAAATTATTCCTCAGCTTCTTTTTAAACTATTGCATGACGATAATTTTCCTGCAATGCAATTAAACATATCGCAGAACATGACAAGAGGCGAAAACCGTAAAAATAATTTGAAATTTTTGTACTTAGTTGTTATTCATTATCAGATAGTTCCTGTACCGCTTAACATGTGGTAAAATAAGTAACCACAAATTATTTCAAGAAAATTTCTAACAAACTACTATTGCGATTCGCATCTTCAATTTAATAGCCTTGCAAACTTATGCTCTGCATTCATTCGGTGTTGTTTATATTGTCGTAAATAAAAACCGTCAACAGAATGAGGAAAAATTTGCTTGAAAAACTTCGTTCGACATTCTACTCTACGCTTCAATTTTGATTTAGGTATAATGATTCTACCGAATTGCGTTAAAAGTTTAACTTATTTTGTAAATAAAATATTTCTGTTACACGCACCGAGGACGCTCTTTAATTAAAATGCAATATTTTTTGATGACGTTGCAGCTAGGCAAGCAAAAGCAGCGCTACTTCCGCTTGTTCCCGCCGTCAACCTTCGCACGGGCGCGTCTCCAGCAGCACGCCAGCGAGGAGGCCGCGTTGGATCTGTTGGCCAAGCCGGAGTTGGTGTTGCTCTCGAACGACATCCTCAAGATTGAGGCCCTGAACAAAGATGACAGTGTGGATTATGGGCAGAACGCGTTCCTAGTGAGTATGAAAGTTAAATCAAAGTACTTAAAAATATAACTCGGTACTCACTGCAGAGAGCGCATTTTCTCGTCGACGAAAACGTGGAGTCACGGACGGACAGACAGACGGACGGACGGACATGGCGAGTACAATAGCGCCTTTTTTTTCATAAATGAGAAAATGCGCTAAAAAACGGCATCCTCAAACATGCATCATTCCATCAGTCAAACATGCATAAGTCCCTCAATAAAACAGGCATTTTATGGATGATTTCATGTTTCCGAATCATGCTAGTGGCAAATTTGCAACTAGGCAGCAAATTTTGTTACAATATGTATGAAATTGCTGCTTGCGAAGTTGAGTGAAGCGCCGTTCTATGTATTTTGCACCCACGGTGCCTACACCGAGCAGTCTAAAGTGAGATGTACCGTACACAGCTTCTCCTTGGCAATTATTCCCTACATTTTAAAAATTTTGTTTCACTGCTACATAAATACTAGTGAATTACACTGATGACATTTGAAATAGAATTACCTGTTTTCACCACGGTTGTGCAGCCGTAGTGTTGATATTTTGCATCTCCCAACTATTTCTGCTTTCTGCAGAAGTGAAAGAAATTTATTTGTTAAGTCTACGGAAGAGAATTTTTGTAAATATACTTTATTCGATACACCACTCCATGGATATACTTGAACAATGTTCTTCAAAGTTCCTCCATGCTTGAAGTTTTACCGTGCAGGGCGGTCGCTCTATCGAATGCCATAGTTGTTGCGAGATAACATTGCCTGGTCGCAGGTAAATTATAATAAGGCTAATGTATATATAAAAATATGCCCTTTTAAATATTAAAAATATGCCTTTTTTATATTTAAAAATGCCCTTTTTTATCTCCAGGTCCAGTCAAAAGAGCAAACACTGATCTTTTCGGCCATAAGTGAGGATGACAGAAAGCGATGGATTTCGGTGAGTAAAACTTTTCTTTAATTTACAGGTTCGGCTGTCTCTTTCAATTTTTTGCCAGGACCTGCGATATGCACAAGCGAATTCATTCAGATACGCTTGATGCAGCGTTAAAAAGATATATAAATAACGCTATGTTTACAAAGAAACCCTTGAAAAATGCGTGTGTTTTATAAGGTGCAGCAAATTAAAATTGCTTGACAATTTCGCTACTTGAAAACCAATATGCCTACGGTAAATTCCTAAAGAACAATTCTTCTTTCCACTGTAATAATGTTATTGGACACCTCGTGCAATTCAACACTGAAGAGCTTGACCTCATGTAATAATTTAGAGACTAATAATGAATAATAATGATTAATAATAGATGATAATGACTAATAATGACTAATAATGACTTATAATAATCTACAGTGCATCCAAGAGCTCCTGCACAGCGGCTGCGACTCCCCCACTCGCAAGTCAAGTCTGAGCTTTAGTGGTCAGGAGAACGTGACACGTAAGTTGGCAAACTATAAATGTTTACGTTTATGTTATTATTAGATAAAATCTGGTCAGAGATTCTATTTCATTTTACACAATAAGGCAGCGTCAAGATGACTATTTAATATTATTTGATGATGTAATAAATTTAAAACGTTACGCGTAAGTTGGCAAACTATTCATGCTACAACCTATGTTATTATAATATAAAATCTGGTTATAATTTCTATTTCATTCGACAAAACAAGACACAGTCAATGACGCTGTTTCTCATTATTTGATCGTGTGATACATTGCGATAACTCTAGGAAAATTTTGCTCTATTTTCAATTCTTCCACAATTTGTCGCGGCGCTCATGAAAAAAAAAATGATTTGGCGCTGTACTCGTTTTTTCCCTCAGGAACTCATACTTCATTAGTAATTATTACGTGCCAATTAACGATAGTTAATTCATCCAATGTATCCATTATCTTAACAAAACTCACTATAAAGTGATATGCATTTTTTTACAAAGACGCAGTTTAAATTCCTTTCATTTTTTTTCTCTAATCTTATGCGCCGTGTTTATTTGCCGAAGCAAAACCTCAACTATGTTACAAGGCAATCCGCTATATAAGATCAAAATGCTGGTCTACCTAACGTACAACGATGTTGTCCGACCACATTATTGCTGTTGTTATTTCATCCTCTCGTTTTTATTACTAATACATTCTACACAAGTCATAGCAAAATTCATAAATAATATTTCGAGATTTTTCAATATTGTTATGCTAGCCAACCGACTGTTTTTTATATGCAGTGCCTCGGTCGTTCAATGTACGAATTTCCAAGTCGACGCAAGTCCGCATAGGCGACGACTCGCCAGTCGAACTCGTGGTGGACGTCGGCAGCATCTCCATCATCGCAATAAATAAAGTTCGTTTAGTGAAGTGGCCGTTCGCAATGCTAAGGCGCTACGGGACAACCAATACAACTTTCTGGGTTGAAGCTGGAAGACACACTGAGGCTGGGGAGGGAGAATTTGAGTTCATAACGCATGAGGTACGATACTTTTCATTTGTTAATGAAAAATTTTGAGAAATGTGCCGTAAGGAATGCACAGCTAAATCCTTTAACGATAAGCAGATGTAATAATTAATTTATTAATAATTTAATAATAAATAATGTAAATAATGACAGTAATTTAAAGTTTTTTCAAATGTAATATTATTTATATAGTAAAGGTTATTTAAATAAAAAGATTCAATTTGTTGAGTTTCAGTAGGGAAATGGCTAGTACAACGAGGGTCTTCTACTCATTAACTTCCAGTTAGTGAGCACAGGCTGCACAGCAATATCTAAACTCTTAGTAAAGATAACGTATTTGCTTTTTTTGATCGCAAATACTAATATTCTTGATTATAATAATCTCCTCACAGTATCCTCGGCTTAGAAACCACAATTATTATTCCTCAAACAGGGCGAAGAAATTCACCGCATCGTCAGAGCAGCCAAAAGGCGTCACGTCGCTGAAGAGGAGTGGACTCCGGGTGCTGGGTCGCGCCGCCCCAGCGCAACAGCGGTCGCGCCCCTGGACCTGTTGGGCGACCCATCACACATATACGAGCCCAGCTACTTTGTTGCAGAAAGTAACAAGCTTGAGGTATGGGGTGTATGATACGAGCACAGCTACTTTGTTGCAGAAACTAACAAGCTTGAGGTATGGGGTGTATGATACGAGCCCAGCTACTTTGTTGCAGAAAGTAACAAGCTTGAGGTATGGGGTGTTTGATACGAGCCCAGCTACTTAGTTGCAGAAACTAACAAGCTTGAGGTATGGGGTGTTTGATACGAACCCAGCTACTTTGTTGCAGAAACTAACAAGCTTGAGGTATGGGGTGTATGTTTCGGTCTGGACTTTGATAGTGATAAGGTTGCTGATGAAAAGATTCGAATTATGCAGAAATCGTTCAAACAGTATTTTGTTTGTGATTTGAACTTTGATAGTGATAGAGTTGCCAATGAAGAGGGTTGAAATATGCAGTAATCATTCAACTGTAATTTTGAACTGAGTTAAAAAAAAATAAGTTTCAGACGCTCAACATCCGTAAAAATTCTTTTTTTTTAACAAGTCATCATAACAGTAAGATTGAGGCTAACAACGTTGATTAAGAAGTTTATTTATAATTTATTCAAAAATAAAAAAAAGGTTTCAGCTGTATAGCATTCGTTCTTGAAATATAATTTTCAAAGATTACATACGAGCTGTTTTGAAGTGGCAACTTTTTACTGCATATTTTTAGAAATCAAATTGGATTGGGACAAATAAATCCAAACCAATCCCTTTTTTTACAACACTTCTCATTAACTTCACTTCTTGTTTGTCTGTCTGTCTGTCTGTCTGTCTGTCTGTCTGTCTGTCTGCTACAAATCTTGTAATCGAAATTTAACACACTTCTACTTATCCAATCGATCTGAAATTTTGCATACTTGTTTAAAGTTGGAGACAATGCATGAATCAAATGTCAAAGTAAATGATTTAAAAAGTCAACTTTTTTTCAATATTAAAAAAATTGAAAAAATAATTTTGTCAGCTACAAATCTTATAACTGATATTTGACACACTTTTACCTGTCTAATTGATCTGAAATTTTGCACACTTGTGTGAAGTCAGAGGCAATGCATGAATCAATTAATAGAATAAATAATTTTGAAGCAGAAAACATGTTAAAGCAGAATTGATGTTCGTCGATGTTTTCAACAGTCAAAAATGGATGTGTTTGCGAATCATTTTTTCCGTAACTGACAGCTTAATATTGAAATTTCGTCGAATTTTCTGACTTCGCTAGCGGTGAAACCATATATTTTCCAGCTTTGAACACTCTTTTAACTGTGTGCATGTACGCAATACTTAGCTTAAGACCGTTTATTTCATATTTTTATTTTATTAACTACAAATGAACATGCTTAGTGCACGCAATCTGATTCCTCCATCGTGAACCACAGGCTATTGAGCCGAGACAGCTAAGAAATTCGACATATACGGGTAAATTATACCTTTATAAATTTGAATTTATGTCATAGGTAAACAAACCATCATGAAATGTATGACCATTGAATATTCTTTATACTAACTTCAATTAAATATACTTCGTTTTTACTGTTCAGGGAACTTCCAAACCGCCCGTGCTCTTTGTCGGAAGCCTTCACTCTCACTCTTCTAGGCCGCAAAAGCATTCAGATCCATCGGTAATTTACGATACTTTTGATATTGAAAAATTTTCATCTACGTATTCCCAAGAATCGGGCATCGAACAGAGGAAAAGCTTCAGTGGAATTGGCAAGAATAACATTGATCGATCCATGAACTCCACCAACCTGACAAGTTCCTCAAAAGTGTCCAAGAGCATGGCTGCTGTTGCATATCTACCGAAACAATTTTCACTTCCTGACAGGTCAATTTCTCGCGAAGAATTTGTTGACAAAAATTCACCACTTCGCCCCCAGCTACTACCCAACTCTCCAAGTTGTGTTTTCAAATCCTCACAGGAGAAAGGCTCTCCGCCGATGCCGATCGCTCGACAAAAATCGCCAACCAAAGCCCAGTCAGTGGACGGGCATTCATATTTACCAATGAACCTCAGTGACCATAAACCATCAACGACCCATAACCCAGCTGCTAATTTGACTTCCGTCGAGGCACCTGTGCACAACCCAAATGACATTTATGCCGTTGTTGATAAAAGTAAGAAGACAAGGAAAACGAAAACGCAAGAGAAAGATTGAACATTATGCTAATGAAGAAGACGCACATTCTCTGCCTTCGCTGCACACAAACAAATGTCATAAATACAAAAAAAGTGATAACTACGAAGTGATATTTTGCAGATAATTTTATCTGCAAAATAACATAGCTGATGTAATGCCATTTACTTCCTATTAGAATAGAATAGAATAGAAGTGTCGGCGTTGAAGACATAGGCCCATGGCCTGTTGCCGATTCTTGAACTTTTCGTGACTTGATTCACAAGGGATCCGGCCTTTGGAACCCGATCTTTCCATAGCTGACGATTGATTGAGATAGCTGCTGGACTTATTGCTTGCTCCGTAAGTTGCTAGGCATTTTAAGACTGAACATATGCTCCTGCATAGCTTCGTCTAGTCTGTTTTTGAAGATGTTCATACGTACTCGGAGCTTCAACGATGCTATCAGGGAGGCTGTTCCACATGTCGGTGACTCGAAGCGAGAAAGCAAAAATTATTATTTATTTATAATTTATTTATAATTATTTAAAGCAAAATGAAATTGCGTCGGTGAAGAATCAAAATAACCTGAAAAAGCTGATCATATATACAATTTATTCATTCTTAAGATCAGCTTTTTTTGAATAATGATACAGTTGCCGATTTCGCATGATTATTGAGAATATTTCTTCAGAGTATTCAATAAATCACCGAGTTGGGAGTCAAGCATGGGCATGCAATTTATTTCAGTGTGAGTTAAGAACGTTCTGGAGTGCACTATAAAAAAATTACTTCCATTATATTTATTTAATTAAAATAGAATTCAACACTCGGGCATTTAAAATGAAAAGCTCATTCGATAAACTTGTTCCCTCGTAGATGCCCTTTTTAACAAAAATTTTTAGATGTAATTGCAGTCGTTTAACGCTTACGCAGCAATTATTTAAAAGTAAACAGTTCACCTGCTCTCTTCATTGAGGGGTTATAAGCCTCGTGTTTGATTTATTTCAAAGTAAGTGAGGGTTAATATGTTATCATGTATGTTTTCTTCTGTATCCTAGCTGAGAATCGTAACAACGATTTAGAATGCACATAACAACTACGTACGCTTTGTCATTGCAGAGCCTTTTAACCGATAGCCTTCATTTTTATGAAACTCGGAATGATAAGAAGTTTTCCGCAACATTTTTTTATAACCAATAAGTTAATTACATATTGTAAATAAAAATGTGCATTTAATATATGCAATTTTTAGGACTAATATCTTAACTGTAGTTTAAATAGCTGGAATAAAAAACACTTTAGGTGTAATTTCACAGGAGAGATGTGTATAATTTCAGCCATTGATCCCTAAGATCGGTAGTTATCTTCCTTTACAGGCCAGTTAATTTTTACGTAACACTCACATAAAATTTATTAAGAAGCAAAACTTTATACAGAATATTGTTATATTATTATTTGAATTCAATGTTGCTGATTTTTACTGGACAAACTACTTTTTAATACTCAAAATGCAACATGTTTTTTTCCTGTTTTGCAACATGGTTTATGAATGCAACGTGGTTTTTGTATATTTAAATAATTTTCAGCACTCGAAATCACAAATAATTTCACCCCGAAGAAAAAAATTATCCCATGCATCCCGATCAGCCGTCTTGGAGTTGGACAGTTCCTAATATTGATGTACGTCGATTTTAGGAAACAATCTATTCCGCAAAGGCTTTTGAGAACCAAATGAACAAATCTACTATGTATATAGAGACAAGAAAACTAGATTAACTATTTAGTAAGCACAGAATCGCATAGTTTTTGTTCTTTTACACAAATGATTGTTTCACTGATACTTGAACTAGCCAACTCTTTTAATTGATATATATATATATGAGGATAAAAATCATAATTCATTCTTCGATCCAAAGATCTGTTTACTTCTCAGCTTTGCTTGTATTGCAGCTTTGGCGGCTTTAATAACGTCTTCGTTCGCAAAGAAAGTTTGCATTTTTGTTTAAGGTAAACCATATTGTATTGCGTTATTTGAGGCACATGCGCACCTTACACACTTGGCAATTCTATTTCGTCTTCAAATTGAAAAGCTGTTCCTAAAATTTAAATAGTTTTACATTAAATAATTGTTCCTAAAAACATCATAACTTCTAGCTTTATTTGGTCACGGGTTTACGAGCGTAATGAGTTATTGTTCAATGTAATAAGGGGATATACTCAAGTCGATGAATGTAATTTCCAACCCAAAGTGAAACGTGAACGAAATGCGTACGATACGCGCGCCGGGCCGAACAAACCCCAGGGAGGGCGCGCTGGGCCGAGCGTATCAAATATTGATAATGTTTTTAGGATTAAAATCGCCCAGTTTATTTATGGATTTTAATTGGTAGATAATACCCTCAACATGCAAAAAACAATAAGCATAGTTAAAGAATTTTCAGGGAGAATCACCTCATGCGTCTCTCTGTTGAGCTCACAGCCATCGAACAGAGCCGGCCAGACTTGCAGCCACGTCAGACAGTCCTGGAAGCGCTGCTTCATAGAGTGCTTGTCCGAGTCCCATTCCCGAATATGTTCCATGAAGTAGAGTTTGCCGCCCTGCTCCAGTAACAAAGTAGAAGTAACTAACTTGAAAAATTATTACCAGGTTAAAAAGTACCGTAATAAATATAAAAAATGGGGGTTTTGCTAATGAAAAATTTATTCGCAATATTTAAAAATAAATGTCTACCTCTATTACAGGCACTGAATTCCCTAAATCCAATTTGAGTGATATAATTACAAAATTTTCAATACAATTCTTAATTCTCGTATGCAAATGACCTGCCTAAATAACAGTCAATACCTTCACCTCCTGCTACATTCATATACACATATTTTCTTAAGACCCTTGTCCATAAACCGAGAGTCGACTCACAGGAACGAGCACCCGGAGAACTTGCTGCAGGAACTTCTTGCAGTCGCCCACACTGCACAGCACCAGCGACACCACCACCACGTCCACGCTGTTGTCCTCCACCATCGTCATGTCTTCGCCTACAACACAATAAACCGTCGTTAGGCAATGGACTATTTTTTATCCGCATTTACCATTTAGCAGCGTGTCATCTATCAACGTCATCTACAATTACTAAGCTCGCTTGATTGATTGCATCGCAATTGTCTTCGCCTACAACACAATAAACCATAGTTAGGCGGTGGACTATTTTAAATCCGCATTTACCGTTTAGCAGCGTGTCATCTACCAACGTCATCTACAATTACTAAGCTCGCTGGGTTGCTTGCATCGCAATTTACAAGGAATTTAATTGCATAGAAAATGATACGAAAATTCATCATGTCTTTATGTTAGAAATTGTTTCGTTCGGAGTTCAACTTCATCGTCAGTTCAACAATACTAAAAGCAATTGCAATCAACTAGTAAAAAAATTTGCATATTGGACACTAAAACCGAAATTGACTTGTAAAAAGTAAATCAAATTGAAATAACCTCAAGCCCGCATATTTGTTGGCAAATTGGAAAAAAAACTGAACGCTGCACTTTATTTGGAGTTCTGTTGTGTTGCTTATTGTGTGGAAACTTAAATTCTAAAATCGCTATCGGGAACCGATTCATGATTGGCCAACAAAGCAACATCGTCGAAACACATCCAGGGCGAAACACATCTTGGATTCTCTAACTGAGATGAAGATGGACTTCAAATGTTTTCTGTTATGAAAATATAATGAACTATTGTGCCATATCTCTGATTTTCTTTTGATCCCTCAAAATAAACTGTCGTAAGGTTGTTTAGCCATTATTTTTTAGTGAAACATACCGCGGAGAAATGTCTCGCTAATATTCACACCTGGATGAAGAAAAGGTAACATGAAGGAGCAAAATACCTATAAAAAACCATCAAACTTCACCTTCCCCGCAGCAAGTAATTCTCAATAAAAATAGTTAAAAATATCAATAAACATTATAATTCCAAAAAACATTCTGCCGCAAAAAGGTAAACAGCACCTTTCGCTACGATGAACTCTTGCGTCTTTATGTTTGGGAATTTAGCTTTGTTCGCGTTGTAGTAGCTTTCGAAGTAGGGGTTGGGGTCGACCACCACCAGGTGACAGCCATCAGGGTAGAATTGGAAGTTTGTGCCTGTAAAATTGCATCATTTGATTAACGGTGAATCAAATTGAATGAGAGTACAATAGATATACACGTGAAAAACTGACTCATGTAGTCAAATGGAATTTTTTTAATCAAGTATCCTTAGTATCCTTAGTATTTGTTTGGGACATAGCAGTCCCAGGCCACGATGGATCGCCGCCTCTGATTATCGTTCATCCGCCCTCATTTGGGCCACCTGATGCACGATGCTGTTGCTTGCTTCTCGCCGCTGGTAGTGTTGCAGATAACCTCTCCCAGTAGTTAAAATTCTCCATCCCTCTGATCCTGGAAGTAAAGGTTCGTTGGACTCCTTCCAGTTGCCGTATTGCGCCTAGTGTGAACGGAGTCCAGAGTTGGCAGCAGTATTCAAGGATATGTATTACAAGGACTCAGAAGAGCGTGATCATCGGTTCCGCTTCTCTCGTTCTGAACGTCCGCCAGATCCACCCCATCTGTCGTCTACCTTTTGCGGTTATTGTCGGTATGTGATCACCAAAATTGACTTGATTGTTCATCAACACTCCAAGGTCGCGAACGAGTCGCTTCTCTTCGATTTACGAGTTGTCAGGTGCCAGGTAGCGGTGATCCATTCCAGCTCTTCCGGTTCCTCTGTACCTCAGGACCTCAAACTTGGTCCCGTTGAACTGCATGTTGTTCACTAGGGCCCAGTCATATATTGCAGAGAGATAAGTAGTAAGCAGTAGCTCGTGATGTTTTTTTTTATCAACTCGTACGTTCCTCGTAAAGCTTACTTGAAAAAAAGAGAAAATTTTGAGTTGAGGGATGAAACGAAACAACGTCGACCAAGAATCTTGCTCTAACAGAATGATCGCCCTCATGTTCTCATTATTTAATTTTCGAGGAGCTGGACATACTGGTGCACGCTTCATAAATTTATAAAGTGTGCACCACTATATATAAATAGTCTTATAAATATATTATAGTTTATTGGTGGGAGAGTCAATATAAGAATGCATATCGAGATTCCAGCAGATATCTACGGAACCTTATGCGCGGTATAGCAGCTCGATTAGCTGGTCACCAGGTGTTTTACGCATGCCACTCGTAGTCCATATATGTACACTCAGCTGATAACACGTGCACGTTCTCTGTTGACCTGTGTTTTTTATAGTATCAGTCTTTGACCCCCTTGATTACTAATACAACATTAGAGCAGTGGTCCATATGATATTTGTTTCTAATATGTTTCGACAAGATAACCGCATTTTCCACACGCGGCCGTGTGGCAGATATCGTGAAACCTTAACGGTCACGATGATAAGAGATTGAATATTGATAACGCAGCCAGTAAAAAATGAGCAGAAAATTTGTATGTTAAAACCTCGTTCAGAGGTTATATGAACATGAAAAATTTGTTATTTGATGCTTCGATTACAAGATTGATCCCTTCACATACTATGCGCAAATATGTTGAGATAAAGTGATCCAAATGAGTGGATTGAAAGTTTTCCGCGTTTTCCTTTATTTTTATAAAATTCTTTCTTCAGTATAAGACTGTATTTGAATTTGCATTTCTAAGCCCAGGAGTTACGAAAAGCTATCTTGCTAATTGAGTACAGTTATTATAATTGAACAGTAAAATTTGTACTATATTGCTGACACAATTATCGATTAGTTCACCTCACCTGTGCCAACGCCGACTTCGAGGATGCGGAGCTCTGAGCTGCCAGGTCGCCGGGGCTTCTCCTTCACGATGTCACCAAATATCTTCTTCTTGAACGCAACAAATGACGGATCAACAGTCGAGTAGAAATACGACATGAACCGTGCAAACGCCCTGGTAGCAACAATGTTGAGACATCACTACTTATTCGCTTATGAACAAAACGCGGTTAACAAATAGGTCACGATGAGCCTCTTTGCAAAGTATCTTACACAATCATGTCTACGCAAAGAACATCGCTAACACTCACCCAATTAGTATAATTTCAAATACTATAATGCAAATACTAATTTATGAAAATAATTTTTCATATGGGAGCTAACCGCTCGGCAAGCGGATTTGCGTTAAAATATAACAAATTTCGTTACATGGATAACTTCTTAGACGCAAGTTAGACGTCAGCTCACCGATGTCGCAAGCTGGGAAGAGCCTTGCAGAAGATGAAACCGAGACAGAAACTGATGAAAAGCGACCACATGATGACGTGTCCACGGCTTTACGCTTGCACAACAAATTACCTCTTGACTGGTTGGAAGTTTCTTGGTATATAACTTGCTGTGAAAACCAGGGGCTCATATTAATTTGAAACATTAATAATTCAAAATAATGCACACATTAAAATAATCGACAACTCAGTGTTGGAATGATTATATGAACTAAGATGATGTTTATTCACGCTAGAGTAAGATGTCACAATTTGCTGAATACAAATTGATATTCTAGAGATTACTTTACTGTTTTTGTCAGGACTTTGCAAAGTATGGAGCGATGTTTCATTAATCTTATTGTAATGAGCAACGGAGTATCAGACGCGATGAACTTTTTTAATGAACTCTAAAGCATAGAATTTTTTTAATGAACTCTAAAGCATAACTATGATGATTGAGAGTGAGACGATTCAGAGCGGAAAATGTTCTTATTGCAGCAGTGCTTAACTCCTCAATAAATATGGATAATATTTTCTATTTGAATTGAAAATCTTCCTATTGCAGCAGCGTTAACTCATCAATAAATATGGATAATATTTTCTATTTGAATTTTGTTCAACGACTGAAAATCAGTGTGAATTACCTAACACTGAAAAAATATATACTTTATGTGTTTAACGGCAGTAAAGCTCACGAGGCGGTGAGGTCTTGAATACTATGTATACGATCGCAACTATACAAAACCGGCTGGGTAGCAAGCACAATCACGACACATGCACTAGCTAATACGTTATTTTATACATCAAATAGACTTCATTTGTTGTGACAAGAATTAATACGTTTCTCTGATACCATCAATATTTTAGTACTATGAAATCTAAGTATTCAGTCTTGACGGGAATGCGACATTTTTGCAGCACCCAAGTAAACCCATATCACACGACGCACTCAGTATTACTGGCTTGTTACCAACTCACAGACACCAAGATGTACGTCCTTGGGTACAACAAGTAAAAAAAATATCGCCTCCTAAGGTCAGAGAAAACAGGCATTTATTTGGGGGTAACTGTTGATTCTCAGTGTCGGGATATGGATGATTATTATTATCCGACCAGATTCTCGGCCGGTTATCCACGAATGAACGAAGCTCAATGAAACTTTGCACCTCCATCAATTAAGACCTAACGGGGAAGTTTAGTACGCAATTTTTTTTACTTTTGTTTCCAACTTACAGACTACTTCGTAGAATCGAGTCACACGCGCAGGAATCATGGGTTGTGTTCCAATACTTAGGGCAGACTCTGCTGTTTTATTTGTGCCGCGTGTAACTCTCTACGGCGAAATGTTGACTCGGTTGCATTGATACCGTTGGCTCTCGCGGTTGACTGATATCCAGTGGACTCTTCCACCGTTGACACTGACACCGTTGACTAGGATCCAGTTGTCTCTGATGCCGTTGACTAGGATCCGGTTGACTCTGACTGTGACGTCGTTCGTCACTCGTCAGATTAAACGNACATATGGAACACTGCCCCGAGCTCTGTGTCATGAACGTCGCGGCCGGCACGCGACCCATACGATACAAACTACCAGAATACATACAATTGAAATGGCGAAGCGTGGGCCAGAAGTACCAAGAAACCCACGGGGGCAAACAGCCCCCCTTCGAAATCCTTGTAAACTTTTTGAACAGTCAAGTGCGAGAAATGTCGGACGACAACTATGCTGTAAAGGTGAAGGAACCCTCAATCGAAACCGACAAGAAGCCCACCGCAAGAATCTTGCAAACAACCGTCTCATCCAACACAAACCCCCAGAAGACTTGTCCGATCCACCAATCTGCGAGCCACTCGATCCTGGACTGTCAGGCTTTCAGACAGCTCCATTACTCCGAACGAAGAGTAATCGCGATCAACAACGAACTCTGCTTTCGCTGCCTGGGGGCTCACCGGGCTGCTGACTGCTCATCGAACTTCAAGTGCGACCTCTGTCACCGACAACACCACACCCTGATGCACCGTCCCTCCACAGACCTCACGTCCCAGGCTACCTCGCAATTAAACAACGGCGCTTCTTACAATACGCGGGAAAGCGCGTAAACATCATCTTGGAACACACGCTCCAATTAATCTGACACTACCTCTCTTCGAAGGAACACCCTACATGTTAAACGACGCACCAACATACCCTGATACGCTGTTGTCAACGCCCTGGTTTAAAGGACCGACTACCCTATGGAACCCTTCCTATCGCCCAGACAAACTCCCCCAAGAAGAAGTCTCTTTACCCGAAGAAAGCAAGACTACATCAATCTTGCTAACCGCAATTACTCAAGAAACGTCTCCACTAGCAATCGCATGGAATAGAACGAACAAAGTCAACACGCTCATAAACATTACCAGGAACGTAGCCAAGTTCAAACATCGTATCGACCTGGTTCGCCAAAAGCAGGGAATCATCTTAACACCTAGGCCGGCAAAGATAAGCCGCAACGACGCACTCAAAATCCTGATCAAAGAAGCCCAGAGAGGATCATACGGAACGATACTACCCCTACTTGAAAATCGTAAGAGACAATCCGAACGACCCGTCCCTTCTCTCACCTGCAACACTGCTTACCCTCCGCACGGAACCCAACCCTCCTCCACTAGAAACCTTCACTCAAGCAGATATTTTGGCCTACGGAAAACGGCTATTTTTGACGTCGTCCTTCTGATACCTAGCACCGACCATCCGCACTGCGGTGCGCGCGGTGGTAGTGTGACGTCGCTCTGAGACGCTCGTCAGCTTCAAACACACCCTTCAGCTACATCATCTATACCCGGCAGAACTTTATCATAGTCCACCTCAAACGACACTCCGTTTTCTTCGGGACAAGCAAGCCCCCGCTTGAGACGCTCCGCAAACACCCAAGCTCCAGTCTGCCTTGCAGTGAGATAGCGCAAACACCCGTGCTGATCTTACCCGGACCGGCGTGGATTTTCTACTAATGATAAGTAACCTTAAGTGACATTCCCTTTACCCATATGAATTGTGTGCCAACCGCAGAACGATAAACTGTTATAACCATTCGTGACGTCCCTATCTAACGTAAAAACCTAGGAAATTTCTGAGGCGCTTCTCGCCACAAGCCAAGATGGCGACCATGGCGGCGGCGAACATGGCGAACGAGGGACAACCATTTGTTTTGAGTGCCTAGTAGTAATTCCTAATTATTCTAGCAGCCTGCTAGCAGTGTATTAGATTTAAAATATAATTTTGATGATTTCTATAGCGTGAACTGTTGTAACCATTTGTGACGTCCCTATCTAACGTAAAAAAACCTAGGAAATTCTGAGGCGCGTCTCGCCACAAGCCAAGATTGCGACCATGACGTCGCTGAACATGGCGGACTCCCCTCATGTTCCCCTCATGTATCGCGAACCTACTCTAAGTATCTAGTATAGACGTAACTAGCATTATTTGGCTACCTAGATCTATGCGCTTACCTTAACAACTGTTGTAACCATTTGTGACGTCCCTATCTAACGTAAAAAAACCTAGGAAATCCCGAGGAGCGTCTCGCCACAAGCGAGACATTATTCTATCTAGTATAGATCTAGTATAGACATAACTAGCATTATTTGGCTACCTAGATCTATGCGCTTACCTTAACCGATACCTTGCAGAAACCTAGGCGAGACAGGGCACGTGGTAAAGATCGTCTGACAAGATCGTCCGAATACGTCACTTCGCCTCCCCCTGCCTAAAATTAATAGTAAG